TGTATTTCGGGACAAACTTCGTCCGACTTTCTCGATCGACTCGCGACTGCAAATACGATCTCGCGACTATCAAATTGAATCTCGAGATCCGCCATCGCTATCGATCCATCCATCTGTTGACCCTATCACATTTCAAGATAGATCTTGGCCACACGCAAAAATGCGACTGTGAATACGAGCCTTCCGTTCTCGTGACTTTCGAAGCGAACGAGATGCGTGCTTTATTTCCGACAGACAGGGACAAATGCGAAACGAGCGAAGGCTCATTCATTTTTACCCCTCCTCTCCCCCCTCCCTCCACCCCTTCTCATGTTCCACCTTTTTCCCCTTGCCCCGCGCACGCGTATTTTGCGACGAGACAGATCGACGACGTCGCGAGATTTTTGTCCACCAGCGAGAAAGAGACCGAGAGAGAGAGAGAGAGAGAGAGAGAGAGAGAGAGAGAGAGAGAGAGAGAGAGAGAGAGAGAGAGAGAGAGAGAGAGAGAGAGAAAAGAATCGTTTACGACGCGATGCGCGTTTTATGGGCAGGAATGACGTCACGAAGGGGAAAAATGTACACTTTGTCAAAGCGGGTCGACCGCGACGACGAACAGGACGATCTTACTTATGCAGTGTAAAGATACCGGCGCAGAACGTGTAACAAGGTACATAAGCTGGCTCGTAAGCTCTGATCTTAAATTTAATCTCTAAGGTCCGCATTTATAGCCGTTACTCGAAGTTCGTCTCGGCGATATATCGGGCGGCGAGGCAGTCTGCACCGAGCTTCGTATTTTGAGACTCGGACGATTAAATAGTCGCATGGATCCATCAGATGACGGATGTAGTGGTCAGCAGATATCAGCTGATGAGAGATTCAAAGCCACTTATGTCACATCAGGTCAACCAAAATGTCCGATGCGATTTCCAATAGATGTCACATATTGCACATTGTTCGTAAAAATAAGCTTTTCGCGAGACGTTGAACGTAGATTTATTCCCAGCGAGCTGCTTGATCAATCGGAAACAAACGCGATCAATCGGCGCCTCGTACATGCTGAAAAAACTGAAATTCCACTCCGTCCGTCCGCCTCGGTGGCGTCTACAGTGGCGATAATTCGTCTTTCGTATTCGCGTCGATACGATCCCAACGACCGGCTATTTTTAAGGAGAAATCAGGGCGACTCGCTCTATATCGTACGCTAGAATGGAGCCGGACGATAACGCGCGGATAGCCGGATAGCAGTAACCAGAGAGGGCGACGGGGTGCATGGGACGGTGGGGAAGCAGGCGGAGGAGGAGGGTTGGAATTATGACTGTATATTAAACACGGGCGCGCGGTATGAATAGACGGAACATGGCCTACCTTAGCCTTATTGTTGTAGCAGCGTCGAAGCGTGCAAGAGAGATGGGCAGAGCGAAAGACGAAAGCAATATCCTTGTCCTTTTCTTGCCCGGCGCGGTACACGAATATATTCGTCTTTCGTGTACGTTAGTACAAAGGAGAAAAAGAAAACACGCGAGAGGAAGAAAAAGAAAGATGAGGGGGGATGAGGAGGGTGGAAAGGGGGAAAATTACGATAAAGGGAGGACCGTGTGCATGCGCTGTGAGCCGACATATACGCGGTGTCCTAATAATCACGATGAAATATCAGAGCCCTATTCTTTGGATCTCTCGGTTTTTTTTTCTCGCTAAAAGTCCGAATGAAATCTCACCGAATGAAAATTCACTCGTAGTGATGGTGAAGATAAGATGAATGTCCGACGCGATCACTAGCAGCATTCAATCGTTGCCTAGAGACCACTGGACATTTTTCATTTTCTGCGTCACTACGTAAAACGGTCTTAATTTATGTGGACGTGATACATGAATGTGTATGTATATATATATGTTTCGTCTGAACATAAAATAAAAAGCCATATCGCGAAGGGTATCGTGTGAAGGGTATCGGGGAAGTCCAGCTCCCGATGCGACACGTAGTGGACGTGTGTTTACTTTAATTTGGAGCGGGTTCTCAATCTATACGAGCGAATATTCCCATTGATCGGAACGCATCTGTCCCCGCGACGGCGAGGAGGCACGTCGGATTCGTCCTTCGATTTCGTGCAGAAATACCCCACGATTCAGAGCGAGGGGACTCGCCCTACGAGTGAAAACTCAACCGTCACCAACCATGCACCTTTCGATTGAAATTCCCCTCAAAGAAATCGAACTCGAAGGAATCTCGCAGATCGCTGAATAATCTCGGTGTGTCCGAATCCTAAGAGCGCACGTGCGCGGTGTGTGCGAGGCAGATTGATCGACATCTCGGCCACGTAAATTTAACGTCAGTTCGGATTAATTCAATGTGTGGAGAAAGAAAGGGAGAGGGCAGAGGAGGGAGAAGAGAAGATCGCGCGAGGCTCTCGCGGCGCAATTGAAGCCCGAGCGCGCCGGCATCGATCGCGGCTGAATCGCCGACAGCAGCAGCCGGCGATGACGAAAGCCGGTAATCACTTTTTAATAGGGGAGTTACTGCAATAAAGATTGCGCGTCGAAACAATCGACCGCGAGTTATCGTCGCGACCCGATAAGTCTGGCAACTCGTTAAACACGGCCATTCGAGAGCCCGGGGCATAAACTCGGATTAGTTTCAGTCCGCGTGATGTGGAAAGGCAGAGCGTGGGTATGCGCGCGCGCGCGTGGTTGATCCGATGAAGTTCCGATAGCGATTTCCCCGGTACGATATATTGGATTCACCGGCACGTTTCGATTTTAGCGCTATTAGCGCGCACCGCTTCGTATATAAACGAACGTCTCGGATAGTCTGGCCCGTTGTGTGCCTGTAAATGAATTTCTTTCGTTGCATCCTGCCCGCCGCTGCAAAAACGCGCTCGGCCGCGCGGTCGTTTTCGCCGAGAGACGGGAAGCGCGGGTTATTATCGTCGTATCGGAGACGGAAGTATAGAGTGATAATTCCTACAAACAAAACTTACCTCAACTTACCTCGGTAAACTTAATGACTAATCTCTCCAGCAATATATCGACATACATGTGTATACGTTTTTGGATGTTTCTGTTTGTTTAATATAAATATTGTTGACGAGGACATACAAGAAACAATATCGTGGACAAGTGGACCAAGCTAAAAGTTATCTGACGAGAAAAGAGTTATCTTTGTCGTACGATGAGTGGATATGATGTCCATGTACGCTTTAAAATTAAATCGCTCATGTCCGACTTCGATAAATTCGTTCTTGTGAACGAATTAACCAGAGATGATATTTAAAAATCTGCGGTGTATGGTAAAATCGCCCGGTAAAAAAACCGGTATTCAGCTCGACGCCGGCGCCGTTGGCAGTCGAGATTTCAGTTTGTCATCGTGTAAAGCTGAGAACACAGCCGCGTTAATTTCGCGCGAGAGCGGAAGTTTCTTCTCTGCGCGTCCAGTGTGTACCGTGCGTTTCGGAGTATGAATAATTTATAATATAAAAATACGGAAGTATTATAATGCGGTATTTCCCAGTTCTCCCCTTTCATTTTTCATTTTTTCTTTGCTCCATTTTTGCGACGCTACTTAAGAGGTCTTTTAAAATGTAGAAGCTCGTTTCCACCTTGCCGTCATAAATCTTTCAGCGTAATTCTCACAGAGAAGGAGACGAGAGAAAGAGAGAGCACATTAGCAATATTATTTATATGATTTATCGCTACGGAAAATTAATATGTCTTTACGTTTTCAAACGCTATTTCGATAGTCCATTGTACAATTACAATGCTGGAGATATCTCGCGTTACCTCATAAAAAGTCGAGCGTGAAACGTTTTCAATTTCTTATCGCGACAGTGTGATATAGTAAAGTGGCCTATTTTTCTTTGCGTTTATTTCAAGCGTTGCAACATTATATTTCGTCGCTCCTCTTGATCGAACCGAAGGGATAATTCTTGCAGGAATAAAAGAAAAGCAGAATATGCACGGCGCAGCTTTTGAAATTAAATATTGTCGCGAAATTGTTCTCGCGCGCGAGGCCTCCGCGGCGTTTTCAACGCGACGGACATCCGCTGCTGCGAAATTAGAGAGAGGCCCTGTTAAAAGTTAATAACATAATTAACGCTCCCGGCTAAATTCTCCTTCGGTAAGCACGTATAAACGCGCGAGACGTTTTTAATCCGTTGTATCTGCGTCCTCTCTTTGCTCGGTCCGGGCTCGACTCGTAATTCGCGGCGGGAGCTATACGACATTGCGGCATTATTACATTTTTCCGGGCATCCCTGCGATAAATTTCGTAGCTCGCGGTGTTAATGGCGCCGCTGCGATATTAGCCGGGTGCCTGGCGAGCGCGGTGAGGTCGAGAGAGCGAAAGATCTCGAGAAAAATATGGCTTATCAGCCGTGAGATATACGTTTATCGCCTTGTAATTTTTATTTGCACGAGATAATGTCTCTCTCTCTCTCTCTCTCTGTGTGTATGTCTTTCCCTCTCTTCCCCTCGCGCGCGCGCGCCTTGGATTCATTTCGCTATTAACAATTATCTCTTAATTGGAGTCAACTGCGCTCGAGCCTATCGCACCTCTGGTCGAGTTTATCGCGGTCCAGCAGAAACGAGCGAGAACAATCAGAGTCTTCGCACCCTCGGAGTCATTAATTAAACGTAGGCGGCTGATCGTACGCTTTCTATCGGCGCGACGAAATCAGCTCAAACGCTCGACTCGATAAATTCCAAAAGTCTTCAACGATATTGCACATTGCGCTTTTACACTCATAATATCGGATTTGTCTGTTTTTAAACGGCATTTAAAGCATTATTTGTCTCTCTTATAAGGTAAATAAGATAATAAGGTAAATAAGATAATACTCAAAGAAAAGAGCGAAATAAATGCTTCCCCGTGGCCTACATTCTTCCTTCAACAGGAGCGAGCGAGAGAGAGAGAGAGAGAGAGAGAGAGAGAGAGAGAGAGAGAGAGAGAAGGGGGGAGGGAGGGAGGGAGGGAGAGAGGTAGAGGAGACTGAAATTGAACAAATCTTTTTTCCTATTGTTCCATGCAGACGTAACCGAGTCTTCCCCGACGAGGGCGGCCGCGGCGGTCCGGCGCGAGGGTGATGCTCTTGGCGGGCGGAAGTGAGGAAGGAGCCCCGGGCGGCCTTCGCTCCCATCGCGTCCGTCAAGGGGAGAGGAGACCTTGTTCGGCGCCGCGAACGGGCCGGACGAGCACGAGCACGAGCACGAGCACGAGCACGAGCACGAGCGCGCGCGCGGTGCGGCCGCAGCCGCGGCAGCTGCTGCAACTGCGAGTGCAAGTGCAAGCGAGGAAGCGGCGGCCAGCGCAGGGGAGCAACGGCGCCTTGCGGTGCACGGCGCTCCTCTAACCGGCAGGCTTAGGAGGGAGTTATGGTGTCTCGCGCATGCAATGACTGTGGCCGCCGCAGCCGTGGCACTGTGGCATCGTGCCCACATCTACAAGGCGCTCGCGTGCGTCGTCCTCGCCCTGATCGGCGTACAGTACCTGCTTAGCGGCGGGGTGCTCGACCGCCGCTCCATCGAGACCATCTTCACGATCAACGCGACCAGGTGAGTGCTCGTCGCTGCCCGAGCTTCCCGAGCTTCCCGAGCTCCGCTCGCCGATCTCGCCGAGATTGCTCTCCGAGAGAGTCTCTGCCATTGGAAATTCCACTCGAAGAGCGGACAGAGTGACAGTCACTCGAGAGTCGCTCGAATTCGAGCGACGCTTCGTTCATGCAGATCGCGCTGATTTGATGCGCTCGCTCTCGAGGCGGTCTCGGAACTTTCTTCTCGATGCACTTCGGCCCGCGGACGAGACGCGGTCTTACTTGTCTCTGGGTAATTGCCAGAAGCCAAGTTGGACCATCGGCTGCCGCCTCGAACCGTATCGGGGAAAATCGTAATTTACATTCGAACCGTTTGGGGAAGCACGAAACAGCGCTCGGAGCACCTCAAAGTAGACTTAAGACTTAAGATCTTAGATACAAGACGGGATTACGAATGCCGACCGTCGCAAGTCGTCGGCGGCGGATCAAACGAATTTTCTCCGCGGAATTCGACGACGTCCATTCGGCGACACGACGTTGTCGACCGATCCTCAGAGTGGCAGACGGTGGAAACGTAAAACACACCGAGAGACTCCGCAGGTCTTGAACTCTCGGATACGAGAGGTGGTATGGGCTGTGAATTCAATGATGGCGGCGGCGATGAGTACACGTATTATGCAGCCTCACGCGGCGTCGTGATACACGCGCGTCTTGGCGAGAGCTATTCGACGTCTCCTGGGACTCGCGGAACTCGCAGAACCCACCGGGGGTCGTAATCCACTATTGCACGTCGTCGCCGCCGCACACGCTGCCCCCCTCCCCCCTCCCCGTCCCCCATTAACGCGACGTCGACGACGGGCGGGGATCCGGCAGATCCGGCAGATGCACAACGCGCCCTCGTAACTCGCGCGCTAATTGCGGCGTCGGGTTCAGCGGGCTTAATAATTGGCCGACTCGTTATTCATCGCGGACGTCTCGCGCGCGATCCGCGAGCTGTTCGCGCCGGCCGTGTATTGTATCGCACGCGGCGTAGCATCGCGAATTTACGGCCTCTCTCGAGCGAGAGATCCATCCCTATATGTGCGTGCATGCGGCTGGTGCACATCGACGCGTCTGTACGCGCTCCTCACACGCACGCAGTTCTGCAAGAAGTCTCTCGTGAAAGAGTCCCGCAAGCGGAAGGGATTACTTTCAGCCGCGATAATTGGGCTGAATCTGCTCCGGCGGTTTTGTTCGTCGACGCTACGGTTTACCTTGTTTTTAATTTCTTTTCACGACGATTGTCTGGCGATACTTGTATTTCGTATTGCAAACCCTCGTGATACACAGATCTCTATCAAAATGTCCAAATTCTTTCCGAAGGTAATTTGTCGTCATTATATTAAACGAAAGTCTCTTCCATTGTCTTAATTATCAAGTGAAAACACTCCAAGAATGGTTCACGTATTTTACCATATAAAGTGAAATTTATTCAAATTATAATTGTAATTTTTTAACATTAAAAGTTATACGCTTAATTTTATGCGAGAGAAATTGATTTAAATTACAATTCTAATTTTATATATTAAAATTATTGTCTAAATGAATTTTGTTTCATTAAAATCTGTAAAGTATATGATATTTATAATTCTAACGTAAAATATTTTATATGAAAATTATAATGTTAAAGATTCCGTTTTATTCTTACTTTAAAAATTGTAATTTTATTTAAAAATTACTTTAATGTAAGATAATCGGAAAGAATCTGGGAAGACGACAGAGAGAGAGAGAGAGAGAGAGAGAGAGAGAGAATGGAATCAGATTGGTTTTGTCATTTAGAATCGCATGTTTGAAACTTCACTTTCAACATGAACTCTTGAACATACGTAGATTTCCTATGCAGGGTTTTATAATTCGAGAAATTGTAATGAATCGCCATTGAATCCCGAGAAATGTTCCACGTTTCGCGGATTTGTCTCCGTGAAAAGACGTTTCGAGCCGTATTGAACGCGACCGCAGTCGACGGGATGAAAACGCAGACGAATTCGTTTCCCAAAAGCGGCGTGTATGCGACGCAAAAAAAAAAAATAGAAAAAAAAACAAATTGAAGCACTTCCGCGCGGTGTGCTCGTTCGGCCGCGTTATTCGGGGTGGAATTTAATCGTCGAATCACCCACCGTCGTTAATCGTCGTTTCCCGAATTATTTAGCCGACCCAATAATCAAGCGCGTCGCAAGCGCGTATCACCGGTTATGATTGAATTTTGCAGAAACGTTTTTGCGCGGTTCGCGTGTCGCATTCGTCCCACTCATTATCACAGAGCGAGCTAACGCGATTTTCAGTATCGCGATGGATACTTTGAGCGCGTTTGGTCGACCATGTTAAGTAACATCGATGCCAGATATATACGCGTAACGAACCGCGTAATTGCATTCGGCTCGCTGTAATTACCTTTCCTTCCTCCTCTCTCTCTCTCTCTCCCTCTCTCTCTCTCTCCCTCCCTCCCTCTCGTCAGTCCCTCTCGAAATCTCGTTCATAATTTGCGATCATTACGCCGATCGTTGTCACCGTCGTGCTCGTCGTAGATGCGCGCCCCGCGATAACGAGAGATAAGCGCATTCGATGCGAATCTATTCTCTCACGTGCGCATTTGTATGCCTCGTGCTCAGCGTTGGCGCTTGTATCCAGATGTAATTGCAGCACGGAATCGATTCTTATCCTTTGAGGCTCGCGGCAGACACACGGGAAATCTCATTACCCGGCATGGTAACGAGGCAAAGTGGCTGCTTAACGACGGCGCGCCGCCGCTGCCGCGGTGCTCGCATATACGAACGATTTACGGAGCCTCGTAAATGGGAAATAATCGGTCTCTCGCGCCGCCGCGCCGCGATCGATCGAAGCGCGAGCGAGTGAGAGCGAACGAACGCGATGTTAGGCCGAGGCTAACGGTGATTTCGCGGACGGGGAATTTCGCGCGCGACCAACTCGCGTTAAATCTTGCGAATCGACGTTTCTCCGAAGGAAAAAAAAAAAAAAGAACGGGAGAAGTTTGATACACACACGGTGAGCAGAGACCGGTCGAATTAGCGTGACAACGAACGAAACACGCGTTTCTCCGCTGCTGAAAGAAATGGGAATTTCCTGCTTGGATATTATTATTATTATTATTATTATTATTATTATTATTATTATACAGGGTTAGAGAAGAAAAGTTAAATTGACGTGAAAATGAACGAACCAAGTTTTGCTCGAAAGAAAAAGAGCTTTTTGGTTTCTGCCGCTGGATTCGGTTCTAGTCGGATTCGCTGGAAGGCAGAAATTCCGTTTCTTTCAAGCAAAACGCGTTCGGCTTGTTCATTGTCACTTTGCTCCGACCAATCTTTTTCCTTCGCATGATAATGATAACAATACCCAGGCCGATTCGAGCGAACAGTAAAGTCCAGGACTGCCGCTGGAAAGCCCGGAAACAGCATCTCGCCGTGGCGAAGCCCGGAGATCGTTACGCACCCCTTTCTCTCTGAGCGGGCGTGACGCTTTTTCGCCCTCGCTCACCCCTAATTCCCGCAATTAGGTGGCTTTTGGTGCGCGCTTGCAGCGGCAGCAAATGAAAAGCGCACTCGCGCGTCGCAGCAGTCGCGCCGTCGTCGTTATTATTACGAAATGACGCGCCGACGTGCGCGGAGAGAAAACGTAGAATGTGGCTTTCGCGCGTTCCGCCGGCGTAACGCGCCCTTTTAACGGGTCAAGACTAAGGTCGGCTGCTCTCAAAGAGAGGGTTCGCCGCTCGCCTTGCTCTATATGCTGTCGACGATGTGGTACAACGTGCACCACACACACACACACACACACACGAGTAGAAAGAGAAAGAGGGGCGGTGGAGAGAGAAAAAAAGAAGAACGCGTCTCGCCTAATGCTTTCATCTGAATTTTTCACCCATGCACTTTCGGTGCTCTACGGAAAAAGCAGCCACGGGGAAAGTAATTGCGTAAAATTGAAAAAGAAAAGAGTAAATACGAGAGTGAAGAGAATAATAATGAAATATAAAAAACGCGGATCACGGAGAGAGGCGGGGCGCCGTTTGCGCGATGAATTTCCTTTCGCGGCCTTCCGCCGCTCTTCCTTCATTCCAACCCCTCGGATGGAGGCGCGATAAATTTGCCGCTGACGACAAGTTCCACTCAAGACGACCGTCCACTGGCCTCTCTACAAGCTGCATCGCGCACGGTGAATCCCGTCGGTAAACACGGCAGTATCGATCTGCTCCCGGCGCGACAATGTGAAAAAAGACTCTACCTCGCGGAATTATAAAATTCCTTCCCCCGATCTTGTTCCGTCGAAGAACTTGGCCGCTCGCACGCGCGCGCGCGCGCACCTTGATAAACTTGGCGCGGCAAGGAAACCGTAGATCAATCAAGATTCCGTCACACAGGTCGCGCGCGCTGTCCCGGCTCCGCCAGTTAACGCGTCCCGATAAGAAACCAATTTATCGTCCATTATCATTCGCGGTTTCGAGTTTCGAATCGGCCGGCGTGAACTCGACAAGTTAAATATCCATTTTTACGCAATCTCGCAATGGCGGCTCCGACGGCTCGAACCGTCGGCCGCCGTATATCATCGCTGAAAATTGCATTGAATTTGCGACGATACTTCGACGATGCGCGCTCGCGCTCGCTCGCGACATTATGATTGCAACTTACGCGCGCGCACAATGCGAGGATGGTGACTATTAATTTAAAATTTCGTCGTCGCCTCGCCGCGATAATAATTTGTCACCTCTTCGCGCGCGCGCGCGCCCCCCCCCCCACCCCTTTGTTCCTCGACGACTGACGGCCGCTCGCACGCTTCGTTCGCGCTGCGTCGTTACACACGACGACGCGATGCGGTTTACGCGCATTACGCGACCGTCGCGAAACACGTAACAAGTGATAATAGGCGTTCTCGTCGGTTGCGCCGCGGCGATTTGCGCGTATCGCCGAGATGCGGACATAAATTCGCACGACACGAATGCAGCCGCGGAGGAAGATCGTGTCAAGCTTCGATCGGCGCGCGTTTGTGCGCCGTTGCGACCGGCCATCTGCGTCCGTGCGAATGAAGCCACTGGTGGACGTTACTTCGGCGTGCCGTGCATTAATGAGATGTACCATTACGCAGCGGTGCCATTGTCCGATGCAATTTGTCTTATCGGGGATCGCGTTAATGGTAACGGCGCGCGCGGCATCACATCGCAGGTTCTCGAGCTTCGGCGAAGCTGCGCTTTGATTTACACGGGCAGCATACACTATGGGACAATGTATTGTTGTTGCGTGAACCAAAATTTTGTTGTAACAACAAAATAATTTGATTAAAATATGCCCAACAAAACTGTTTAGTTCCTGCAGATATCTTGTTTGATTACGGTTTCTTCGTATAACGTAATACTTTTGTTACAGCAACGAAAAAGCTTTAACTGAATGAATTTTGTCAAAAATGCTATAGTTTTTTCTTAATATATAAAATCTAAATTTCAGCGCACAGAAAGACAAAGTAGTATCCATTGGGTATTACTTTAGTTCATGTAAAATAACATTTCGTTATCATGTAATTTTTATGGATGAAATTATTAAAATGCTTAATTTTTACATATGAAGTCTAAGAACGAAATCGTTTGGTTCAGAGAACATAGTTTACTTGAGACAACTAAATATATTTTGTTATATAAAACGAGATATTTGGTTGCTATTAAAAAAATGCTTCAACTAAACAGTTTTGTTAGAGATACTAAATTTTTTTTCCTAGCGTACTGGGTGCGCATTTTCCGCGGAGACGGAAACCGGAAAAGTAACTTTCCGCCTCCAAACCGCTTGTTCAGTTTGCTGCGAGGCGGCCGTTTTTGGTCAGCCGATCGGAAAATGTTGGAAATCCCGTGTCTCGTAGGATGATGTTTCAATGCGCTCGGTCAGTTTGAGAACCGCTTTTAGGTGACGCAGATGCGTGTCACGATATTTCATCGAGTCTGAGTGCTCGAGTAATGTGAATTAGCAGTGGAACATGCGTTTCTCTGGCTGCGTTACGTGTATGTATCGACGGCTACGTGCGCGTGTCCGCCGTGAAACGTGCCCACAAGGCGGAGAAGGCCTAAAGCGGACCTTAACGTCGTACTTTTAGGTAAAAGTAACGTAACTCCCGTACTTAAAGTTCGCCCGAGGCGTCCGTAAGCATCGTTTTGTTCCGCCACCGCTGTCGACGTCGTCCTTCCTATAGCCCCATCTGAAAATCCGCTTTACGGCGAGTTCCAGTATAAGGTCCTGTCAAACTTTTAACGGACCTTTCCGTTCGCGACGTGGCCGATCGATGAGCGGCTCCCTCGCTTTCTGACACCCTCGAGGCGTCTCCTAGGATCTTCAAGTTCTTCCTTCCTCCCTTCCTTCCTTCCTTCCTTCCTTCCTTCCTTCCTTCCTTCCTTGCTGCCGTTCTTCCTACTTTTCTTTCTCTCCCTTTTCCTCCTTTTCCCACCCTCGTCACTTTTTCCGAAGATAAACGGAAGACTCACGGAGGCATCCTGTGACATTAAGGATGCATCATCGTCAAGACTTCCCCAGCGCAATCCGAGGACCCGCGTGACGAGAACGGCACCACGTTCCCGCTATCGTCCCGAGAATTAGACAGAAACGAAATTACCCAAGCCGATAGAGACGGCTCGGCAAACTTGGAACCGACATGAGATGGATTTTACCGGAGACAGTGCAGTGCCGGCGTTATCGGTTCTCTCGTCAACCGTGGAGATTCCTCGACAGACGATCGACGACTTATCCCTTTCCTTCCCGCCGCACGGCGCAAGTTCGACGGGAAAATCGCCATCTGTCGAAATCTCCTTAATCCGCTACGCTAAATATTTGATATTTGATTACTCGTGGGTTCAAGAAAGGGATCAAGAAAGGGTAGAAAAGGAGTAGTCTTTTGCGGGGTGCTGCGTCGAATCTACCTCGTCATCGCGAATCACTGCGGCCGGTTGAACAAACTAATTTCCTATACATTAATATCTCATTTAATGCAAATTATCGTATTGCATCGTTCCTCTAAACAGATGTTGGAATATTATCGTGATAACTACGAGGCAACTGGACTCTTACTGGAATCCGTTAACGGGGAAACGTCGAGGATGTATGGTTCGGACGACGTAGGATTAAAAGTCCTTCATAGTGCTCGGCTAGAAGCCTCTCGTAGCTTCACGTTCACGCAAATCGCGCGTAAACGACTCTTCCGCGGCATATTCCGCGTGTTCTCTCGGATCACGCGCAAGCTCTTCTCTCTGTCCTTCTCTTTCTCTTCTGTTGTTTCTCGCGTTTTTGTCACCGAGTAACTTGCTCGCTCGCGTGGTGCGCCGCTCTTAAAAAGTCCCGTCACGTACGTGTCGAAATATCGCTACGAAGCCGAAGCTTTGCCGAGCTTTCCACGCCGGCTTTCCGCGTGCTCGCCATCGCACCGCCGCAGATATCTCGGCGGCGCGATAGCGAGCGAAAGATTTCCCCCGCCGGATTCCGAATGCAGCTGCTACCGCCGCATCGGCATAGCCGATCGGCGGAGCATTTCCGTGCAGGTACCGGCCGGCCCGGATGAGTCACGTCAGATTTATGCCGCGCTCCGGACGTGGCGGGAATTCCGCCTAATTCCGGCTGATCGGAACAACATTCTTAAGGCCGCACATACACAAAGGAATGCTCTTCACGCGGCGTGTCGCGCTCGTCCAGAACCGCGCTGTCTTCGTGTTTCCGCCTGAGCCTCTCCGATTCGCTCAGTCCAAGCTGGATTCTCACCATTCGTGCAGAGACGACGACGGACAGAAGTCTGTCAATCCTTCGTTCTTTTTTTAATAGACACGATTGAGAGATGCGACGGAGATTTTTGTTCATTTATTTATTTATTTATTTATTTATTTGTGGGTATTATTTTTTAGCGCGTACAATGCACTAAATGTAAATGTAAATTAAAATGAGAAAAAGAAAATAAGAAAAGATAGGAAATAGTTGAGAGAAGGAAAAGAAGAAAGAGAGAAAGGGGGAGAGGGGGAAGTAGATACTGTGTGAATACCCTAATACAAAAGCATTGAAAAATCTTTGAACTGAGAATGGACGGACTTCCGTCTGCCGTCGCCCAGACGAATAATGTCTTACACAGCCGATCCTTCGTTTACCTGGTCGTGCCTCCAACCATAGACCGCGCCCTTCGCCAAGGCCACTAAAAAGCTCATTGTGTGCTGCTTCGTAATTTCGCATAGAACAACTCGCTGCATGCATCAGAGGAGGAAAAGAGAGTGAGGAAGAGAGAGAGAGAGAGAGAGAGAGAGAGAGAGAGAGAGAGAGAGAGAGAGAGAGAGAGAGAGAGAGAGAGAAGAACATTAGATCGCGGATTACACTCGCAGCGGTTAGTGGCCGACGTGGCGGAGCCGGAAATTGCAGCTGCAACCGGGTCGGCTCGTAAACCCGGCGAAATTCGCTGACGCTCTCGCAAAACGAAGGGAGAGAGAGAGAGAGAGAGAGAGAGAGAGAGAGAGAGAGAGAGAGAGAGAGAGAGTGGGTGAGGGAGGGAGATAGATAGAAACGAAGCACACGAGCACGTTGGAAGGTAAACGAGAGGTTGTCCTGCGGGGATCAAGCCGCCATCGTAATTTCTTGCCGTGGCCTTCGGACGCGTCGTAAACCTTAAGTGAATTAGAACGCAAAAGCGGAAGCTACTATCGGCTGCTGTCGCGAATGCATCACGTTCATGTCCGCTCTTTTCGATCTGGAGACTAGGTCCGCGAGGAGGAGAAAGATCGAGGGGCGGTTGAGGTTCTGAGAAGAAACAAGGATCGTCTCATCTATTCGCGAAGAGGAGCGCGACGACGAGTGAAAGAATATGTTTCCCTCGGAGGAAAGTGATTCGCGATCGGTACCATTCGCACGGCCGATCGCGGCGTTAGTCGGCGACTTGGAGGTGTGAATCGTCGCCGCGATTAGACGGTCGATCGAGCCGCTAATCGCTCTCTCGATTCTACGAGGACGTCGTAGCTCGGCCAGCCTCGTGATAGCTCCCACGACACGCAGTCGACGGATAATTGATTCTCGGATATATACGCCATCCAGGGTGCCGGTGAACTTGGCGTTAGCTGCGAGCCGGCGGCCGCCGCTTAGCGTTAATACGTTACCAATAGCGTTAATATGCCATTAATATCAGGTTATGCGACATTGTGCGAAAACGAACGAAACGTTCGGCTGCGAGCTCGCGTCCGTTTTACCTCGTCGCTCGTGCGCTCGCTCGCGAGCGCACTATTAAGATCTCTCTTTCGGATTCATTGGATTAGTAGACTCTTCCCTTGGACTTTTATCGCTGTGTCGCTCCTTCTTTAGATTTCCCGGAGTGGAAGCTCACGGAAAACGACTGGGGATTCACTGTCGAACGACGACAGTGAAAAATACCGCCGCTCCCTCGGAGGAAAGTGAAGGGTTTAACTGAAACTTAGACTGCATTCTTAATCAGTACAAGTGAAGTATTTCGATTGATTGGAGAGTGAATTTGACGTTTCATTAGAGCGGTTGATATTTCGACGTTAGAGTTTGACAGAACTTGACATTGGAGTGAATTTGTTCCGGCTGAACGCGGTGCATCGGGGAATTCACTCTTCAGCTTCGAATGAAAATATTCACTGGGCGATGTCCAGAATACCATCGATATTGGTGAAAAATTATTCGACCGCCGACGATTCGCGGCCGTCTCTCTGCCTTTCCGGTCGTATTTCGCTGGGAGAAATTTCGAGAAATTTCGAGTAATACTCCCGACAGTTCGTATATTTAATAATGTACTTTAATTTTTCCCCTTTTGTGCCTCTCGCAGATACGCGGACCACTCGTACCGAAGCCACCCGCGCGGTCTGATCATTTACGGGCCAGCGACCGTGCCGAGTTTGTCCGGCGCTGGCAATGCGTCCTCCACGACGACGATATCCTCGATACCGGTCAAAGGCATCTCCAACTCGTCCCGTGGCGAGCCCGCGCCTACTCGCAACCTGGCCAACGGCGGAACCGCGAGAGAGCTCTCGGTGGCGAGCAACAACGCGAGCAACAACGCCACGACGATGCCACGGTGTCCTCTCATCCCGCCGAACCTGGGTGAGTGTCCTTGGAGAGTCGCGAAAAACAACGCGACGATGTATCTGCTGTTCTCTTTCGCCTTCTTCCCTTCACACCTTTGTGGTACATGCTGTTTCAGTTGGACCGGTGGTGGTCAGTAAATTACCACCGCCGCCGTTGTCCGAGATGGAGAAGTCGTTCGCGGAGGTGAAACCAGGCGGCATGGGTCGGCCGGCGGACTGCGTCGCCCGGCATCGCGTCGCTATAATCATTCCGTTTCGCGACCGTCTGCAGCATCTGCAGATCCTCCTCTACAACCTGCACCCCATTCTGCTGCGCCAGCAGATCGACTATCAGATCTTCGTGATCGAGCAGGAAGGTGAGTACGACGACTACGTCGACATTACGTCGATTTGGCCGCTCGCCCGCGGCTCTCTTTTTATCTGTCTCGCCTCCTTTACACGGGAAAATGCGACATTTCGTTCTCGTTCGGCTCGCGGATTCGCAGGATACTCGCGAGGATAAAAAGTTATGGGAACTCCGAGAGATACTGCGACATGCATAAATGTACACACACATACACACATATATATATATAAAACACATATTACAAACACGTATAAATTTATATAAAACAGAGCAATTTATTTATTTATTTGCTTATATTTATGTATCTTTTCCGAGGCACAAAGCAAAGTCTCATAATGTGTTATTTCTGAATATCTTAGGATACACATACATTGCGGCGTCTCGATTACATCTGCCATGGCTCATAGTTTGTTTGCATAAGGCGAATGTAAACGTCCATGCCTATCTACTTACCTACCTACCTACCTACCTACCTAGCTATCTACCTACCTACCTACCTACCTACCTACCTACCTACCTACCTACCTACCTACCTACCTACCTACCTACCTACCTATCTACCTACCTACCTACCTACCTACCCAACTACCTATCTACCTACCTACCTATCTACCTACCTACCTACCTACCTACCTACCTACCTACCTACCTACCCAACTACCTACCTACCTACCTACCTACCTACCTACCTACCTACCTACCTACCTACCTACCTACCTATCTATCTACCTACCTACCTACCTATTTACCTATCTATCTATCTATCTATATATCTATCTATCTATCTATCTATCTATCTATCTATCTATCTATCTATCTATCTATCTATCTATCTATCTATCTATCTATCTATCTATCTATCTATCTATCTATCTACTTACCCCCCGCACATATGGTCACGAGATTCTTCTCGCTGGCACCGTTGCTGCCGTCGGTGCGTGTACACCGATACTTTGCCACGATTTATTGCCGTCTAGCGAACGTTTCTCTTGCTTGCGTATTTTCCTCCGCGTGCTCCGTCTTTTCCTCTCCCCCTTGCTCTTTTCCTACGCCCTTCTTGCCTCCGTTCCTCTTCTGGGAGGAAAATGCCGAAGAGCGTGAGTCAGGGTGTCTTGAGAGAACCTACTTTAAAACTCCCCCACCGTCCTCAACCTCGATGGCCCCGTAAGCTCTCTGACTTAATTCTTAATTAAATTTGTGTACTATCGCGCTTCTTTCCTCACTGTCCCTGTCCTCTTCCCTCCTATTTCTCTCTCTCTCTCTCAGTCATTCATTTCTCTTCGGCGTTCTCCTTGCTCGAATAATCGACCGACCGAGGCAACATGCACTCTTGAGCGCGACACAAAATACTTCCGCCAATGCGGAACACCGCATCGCGACGCAAGCGACGGTGGTTATTTTTTAATAAGACTTTGGACTCCACCATTTATCTTGCATTCGTTCGTTCGTTCGTTCGTTCGTCCGTTCGCTCGTGATAAACGATTCATTAAGCGATAAAACTATTGTTGCGTCTTCCACCTCGCGGTGGAAGATCTCGCGCGGATTTTCCCATGGCAGGGGAGATTACAAGGAGTTTTTCTCCTTTCCCGGCTGCGAGATATAAAATCTATCATTCTATTCGGTTCCAAGAATACTATTTATCTTAGCTATTGGGAGACTCTCCCGGGCGAGATCGCAATTTATCTTCATTAAAATCGCGGAACGCTCGAGTAAGTTTGTTTACTTAACGTATGCGAGACGTCAGAAAATGACTATGATTAATTCTCTTGTTACTCCGCGCAGTTTCTGCATACTTCCGGCGTATGATGTGCGTTGGATTTATGTAGCAGACGACAAGGTTGTTTAAAGCAACTTTTGATTAAATCGTTGAACTTAATTTTGATGTACGTAGACGTCGCACTCCCATCCTCCCACCTCTCTCTCTCTCTCTCTCTCTCTCTCTCTCTCTCTCTCTCTCTCTCTCTCTCTCTCTCTCTCTCTCTCTCTCTCTCTCTCTCTTTCGTAGTTTATAAAATATCTCAGTGAGAGTTTGCAGCATACTGCAGAATACTGCAGTATGCTGCAACGCATATGAAATCGCATAATCGGTGTTACTTTCAACTGTAATATCGCGATGTAATCAATATTAGTGTTTGTCGTTTTAAAGTTAAAATACGGGAGTCGTGAGACTCCTTGATTATTCACATGTAATGTCGTGTGTCGCCATTCGTATCGATTTCACGTTTGGTCACTTTGTTTGCTACTTTGCTGTGATTTGCGATCGTTCCGACGTACGGTACTACCTCCGGCGCATCCGGTTCACATGTTCGAAACGTCCCTCGAAAATGTCGGCGCAATTTAATATGGTTTCCACTGAAAAGTTTTGAACGCCATACTCTCCCGATGGAATTCTAAACCCGATTTTGTTCGCGTTTCTCCGCTCAGTATGCAAACGAATACAAAAAGGAAAGCACACAAAGAGAGAAAGAGAGAGAGAGGGGGGGGAGAGGGATAGCATTGCCCAACTTTTTTGTTAACGCACTAAAAAAGAGCTTTTGCCTGAAAAGCACCGAACGGAAATATGGGATTATCGCGCCGACATTTATGAGGGTATTTATTTGAAAAACAAGTCAGAACCAATTATAATCTTTTCGGGTCGATGTTACTTTTTATCAATTACTGATCCTGTTTGCCGCCATTTTAGCAAGATATACAGTCACTCGTTACGATAAAAATTTCTTTTCATCGACATCCGTCACGATCTCTCGCGATTCTTTCGGGCCGAGCGAGGAGTAATTCACTTTGATGCAGCGATATTTGATTGCCGTTAGTTTTCGTTAACGTTAATCGACTTTCACGTTAATCTCCTGAAAGGTACAATAACGTGATTATCCCGTTCCGACTCGTTTTCGAGGCGAGCTCGAGAGATGGGACTCTTCGTTGCGCAAATTTCAATATTTCAATCGAATTGATATTACGTTCTATTAATTAACGACAAATCGCCGAGCAATTAATTTTCATGCTAATCTAATGAATCTCGTGTAACGTTGTTATTACTATTCCTAGTCGAGTCAGACGAAGAGCGGAGAGGAGTCGCTGCAATCCGGCTGCACCGCTCTTAATCGCGTTAATCCCCCGGATCAGAAATCGTCGGGTAATCGATTCTCGCGGTGACGTCACGGGGGAAATTCGACGTCGTCCTTATTGCTTCCTCTGCGGGATTCTTCTCCGCGAGCGCCCAAGGCAGAAGGGAAATCGCTCTCTCTCTCTCTCTCTCTCTCTCTCTCTCTCTCTCTCTCTCTCTCTCTCTCTCTCTCTCTCTCTCTCTCTCTCTCTCTCTCTCTCTCTCTCTCTCCTCATTCCCTCACACCCCCTCGCTTTTTCTCTCTCCACTAGGTAGAGTTATTTCAATCGGTTCGCCATTACACCTCTAATGGCGTGAATTTACGACAAATCGCCGAGCAATGAATTCCTGCGATAATTTAACAAAGGTAATATTTCACCAGGCCCGATGCGATTAATTACGACGAAACAGCAACGATTTATTCTCGGCGCTCGCGCGCGCTGGCGCCCGATCCTTAGAAAATGCGCCGAACTGTTATTCACTGTCAAGCCCCCGCGCGCAACCTCGAAGACCTCACGTAAGTCAGGCTTAAGCGCTATCTAATTCCGAGTCCGAAGGAGGACCGGCTACCACCTTCCTGCAACGCGGTCCACCGACCGGACAATCACGAGTCTACGGTTTACACGCTCAGCGCTCGATGAAACGCGCACGATCTCTCGCTAGAAACGCTGCAGGATCTCGACGAATTGTCGAACATGAATGTATCCTCGGCACTTCGCGCGGTCGGCCCAACGATTCGCGTCCCGAGATTTTCGCGAGCCGCGACGGTCCCAAGGAGAGAAGTCGCGAAACTCGAAGGGAGAACGAACGAGCTGGCAAGACCGAGGCGATTTCTCGCGCAAATATAGGTTATACCGCCGCTGTACCGTTCGTCCGCGGCTGTTTCCACCCGGCGTTGAAGGCGCAACCGTGTAATCGCCTCAGAAAACGAACCGAGCGATGGATCTCATGATTATCGCGTATACGCAGCTCTTTCGCATCCGGCATGCGGCGAGGGTACCGTTATCGGCAGGGGTCCACGTATGCGCGAAGTCACCGGCACCCCGAGGTTAATGAGGTACATCGATCAAGCGAGGGAACTATGCAGATGCAGCTGTCTCGCGAGAGCAACGTGGAAAATAGATATTTACATTGTAGAACGATATTGGGGAAGTTTCCAAAGTTTGTCGCGGGCTAACGAGCGGGAGGAGGAGGAGGAGGAGGAGGGAGAGTGTTGCTTCGATCGCGAGAGATTTCGCGAATTTATCGCAGCACGATGATTGCCGCAGGGATCCCGGAGTGTGCTGGTAACATAGCCGTGTCTCTCTCTCTCTCTCTCTCGTTAATTCTCTCGTATAAACGTAACCAATTGCGCGTGACAAATTAAATACACGTGTACGGGCAGCCGCGAATTGCATTTATTCGCCGTATCTTCGGTGACTCGAAACTTGAGCCGCGCGCGCTGGAACGAGCGGAGCGTGGCGGCGGTGAACGTGTCGAAGGCTCGCCGGATCGCCGGCGATTTCGTCGGCTAAAGAGATGAATCATTTCACACAGACACGGACGATTATCTGAAAGGTGAAAGGCAAAAAAGCCGGCACAGAAAAGGAGGCAAAATAATCGGTCGGTAACGGTATGCGAAACGTAGCTGGTACCGTTGCGTTGTTATCTGCAAAAAGAAGGTGATCAGCGAACTTTGGCGAGTGTTCGACACATTGTTACATAGGCGTTCCTGCGTATCTGGCCGTGATTCTCAGCTGTTGAATATATCCTCTCTCTCTCTCTCTCTCTCTCTCTCTCTCTCTCTCTTTGTTCTCTGCCTGTGCGCGTCTACGATATAATTTACCTTTTATTAGCTTTGTCATATATACACTGTAGGGTCTTCCTGTCAACTTATTTATTCTGAAGAACAATGTTTATATTCTAAG